TACATATATACGTAGTGTGAAATATGTATATATAATATGAAATATATGATAAATACCATAAATATAAATAGATATGTGTATATATTGATATGATAAGATTCTAGTTAGGTTGCTCTAACTACAAATCAAGCACTTTCTGCATCATTGTGGTGATGCTTAGGAAGTCGAGTCTGAATTTCTGAATGTTCACTCTCCAGCCAGAGACCTTTTCACAGACTGAGGAGTAGACATAATAAGGCCAGCAGCAGCAGACTCAGAGAGTTCAGGGTGATTTAGGCTTTCTGATCTTGTCTAGCCGTGCTCACCCTTTTCTGGGTGCCTAGGACTTTGCTGAAGCCCCTACAGACATTCTGATTCTGGGAACATCTCCTTGCTGGTATGGTTCAGAACAGAGGCACACCATCACTTTGGTCAGCAGGATAAGGGGTGCCTGGACCCTGTGGAGTGGGAATGAATGGAACCTCTGAGTTACTTGTCTCTGGGCTCCAGAATGTACCTACTGATCCCAGACCTATGGCCTGAAGTGGCTCCTGTAAACAGGACTATGACCCAACAATATCTAATCCACTTAGCAGTGAGACAGGTATGGGATTGAGGGAGTTATCAGATCCTTTTTTCACTCTCAAAGTCTTACCACCAGCTTATTTCTCAACTGTAGCCACTGAGTAGGTCATTGTGCAATCTCGTTCTTTAGTAATTTACTTGTTTTAATAAGATTGCTGCCATCATTGAGTGACTCTGATTTACCAAGGCAACAGTGTGACCTACATTTTGTCCTGTGCCAGACAGGGCCTTTTCCACGTTGTCTCCTTTGATCCTGCAACTCTGAGAGGGAGAGATGGTTCTATCTATTTTACAGATGAGAAGAGTGAGGCATAGAAAAATTAAGTGACCACATGCTTAGCAAGTGGTAAAGCCAGGACTGGAATCAGGGCTCTCTCACCCCCCAAATCCACTATTGTAGTGCTTCGCCTTAAGTCCCAGCTGCAAGATCAATCCCTACTTCGTAGCATTCTTCCATAAGTGTATTAGTTGCTGCTGGATATCAGGAAGCAGGCTCCCATTTGCTGACTGTAATTCCATGTCCAACTGCTTCCCAGAAGAATTCTTTTCCCATGGCCCCCTTCTCCTTTCCATTCATAAGCACCTTCTCCCTCCCTTCCTGGAGCTGTTCTGACCAGTGTCTTCCTCTTGCCTCAAGCTCCTCTCATGTGTTTATTTAGTTTTTCTTTTATTAAGCTCCAGCCTTAAGTATCTGAGTCAGTGGAGGGGGAGGTGTGTGCCTTGTCCTCCAGTTGGGAAACCCACCCTTCCTCTGCTCCACCCTGGTTTCTTTGGCCCGTGATGTCAGGTCTACATGCAGGAGTGGAGGAAGGGCTGGAGGATTTAAAACAAGCATTTTCTAAGGACCTGCAGATTTTTTTTAGTGAGAGAAGAAGGAAAATCTTAGGCTACTGGGTCCAAATGAATGTAAGTGGTTAAAGCATAAATCCCTATTTATTTGAGTAGCATGTCATGCCGTGTTCTTCATCAATGTCATCAAACCATCTTACCACCACCTGTAAGGCAGTAGTTGCTATATTTTATATGTTAGAAAACTGAGACTCAGTGAGGCTTTGCTGATTAAAACATGTGTCTGTTACCCACCCCATCCCTGTCCACTGCCAAGAATAGCTGGAGGAAGGCCAGACCATAGCAGGCACACTGCAAATAAACTATATTCCTTGTTCCCTGAACTTACCGTTGTCTTAAAGACTTGTGTTGAGTTGGAATGAAACCAATAACATCTCCATCCTCATTCCCAAAAGGAAGGAATCTTTTGATCCATGACTGCAGAGTCACTGGTAGGTCACATCAGTGAAAATGAGGGAGTAGCCCTTGGCCTCTAGCTGTGGGTTCCTGTGACTTTCATATTGCCTGTAGGGACCTGACCTTGCCTGGAGTCCTTTGCAAGTACCCACATTACTTTTTTATGGTACTCAGTGCCCTGCTTAAAGCCATTTCATTGTTCACCATCACTTACAGTAATATTTTCCAATTGCGATTCAATAGGTAGGTGTTCTGTAAAAATGGTGATTTAAGGTCAATTAAGTCCTTTTTCCTTCAGAATTTCTCCGAGCTTTTTAGTAATCTTGTAAACATTATAAGTGAAAAAAAAATTTAGTATAGATAATTCACCAACCTTTATTTTAAAATACCTTAGTATTCCATGGAATATGGTTTGGTGTGAATGGCACAACTCACACAGTAGTATAACTTCCCACGGAGGGGGTAGGGGGTGGAGGGGTGGGGATAAAAGAGTAAGCGATGCTTGCTTCTGAAATGTCCCCGATGGCTGCGGCTTCTACTATGTTTCACATGACAAGCTTCGTAATAGCCTCGTTCTTGGGCGTGCAGTGGGCACAACTGATGCAGCAGATAGGCTGCACACGGCCCAGGTCCTTTTTAGCACATCTATTGTTCCTTCTTGTCTTTGTCATCTTGATACAGAGGACCAAAGAAGACACTTTATTTATTTTTAGATTTTTGCCATAGGGCACCCACGCTTGCCAGAGAAGACAAAGACAGACAGAGACAGTGAGAGGAAAAGTGAGAAATAACCGCCCAGGGAGGATGGTGTGCCACAGTCCCTTCTCCTCCATTCTCCTCCTGGGATTTTTGGGTACACATGCACACATGCCTGGTGTGATTTTCAAGCCACCAGGTCTGGGATTCGACTCACAGATGGCTATGTGAGAGTCCAGTATCTTAACACTGCCACCTGCCAGCCCCCATTTATTTCTTATGTATCCATCCAACCATGTGCTCCCTAGGGCAGGAGTTCTGCCTTCTCATTTCTGTATCTGTAGCACCTGTCGTAGTACCTGGCTTGCCTCCCTAACCCCCGTTTCCTCCCACCCTTTATTCTTTCCTTCTCTCTTTCTCTCTCTCCTGGCTTGTTCCACAAGTTTGGACCTGTAGTTTATCTTAGAATAACTCTCAAGTTTCTCCTCCAGATTTTCTAGGCCAGCTATGGGAATCTGATTTAATTTATACATCAGTTTCTGAATGTATACATTAAATGTTCTTAGAAATAAAAGGTCTCTATATTCAAATTTTCCTTTATGTCCCTTACTTCATAAAGGCCTTGTGCAGTTCTTGGTAAGCAAATTACTATTTATTTAATCATCTTTGCTATGATGCCAATGATTCTACTGCTATTTTTGTTAAAAGCTTTTAGCTGGTTATTATTTGCATATGAGCAAATACTGGTTTGTATCACTGTTTAGCAGCCAGCCTCATCAGCGCAGTCTCAGTTTACTTGTAACTCTTCGATTTTCCAATAATACATTCATGTGATTTCAAAATGATTATAAATTTCTTCTTCCTGTCGTTTTTGAAATCATTTTCTTATTCAGTCCCAGACACTATTCCTGCACAGCCAAACTCTGGGATCTCTCATTCTTCTGGCTGCTGGCTCGCTCTTTCTTGATCACCAATGAGAAGGTGTCATTTGTCTTGGGAAGGGCCCTCTCTGTCTTTGCCACTGCCACAGGTCTATCTTTAGGCCTCAGCCCTCTACCCTTTGCCCTCTTCCCTTTTCTCCAGGCCTCTCCCACTGCTTTGATTTGTAGTCGGAAGTTCCCCTTGTCCTCTTGCCTCTTCCTCCTCATTTCCCAAGTTCCCACAGGAACCTGGGAAGTAGATTGTGCCCGGAGGTTACAGCGGAAACTGCAGTCAGATAACTGTGAGGGGACAATGCCCCCTTGACGTCATTTCAACTTCTTTGGTTCGGCCAGAGGTGGTTTTTATTTTTTTTTCCTTCCATTTTTCTTCAGGTTGCTCTTCTACCCCACCCAGTTCAGTGCCTGTCAACCTCTCTTTGAAAGGTCTCTGGCATTGTCTAGTTGGTTTATGGGTTTCCTTATATTCTAATTAAAAATCCACAGTTCCAAGTAGTAACTTAGAAATATGTCCTTGGATAGAGTTGCTTTCTTTGGAAGCAGAAACATCCTTTTGTGAATATTATAATAACTTCCCTTACCATTGGGGATTTTATTTCCAGGCCAATGCTATAGGCCAGGTAGTGTAGGGATCGTGTATCTATAATCCCCAGGGAAACACACAAATGTGTTGTCATCAGTTGTAAAAAGGAAACCTTTGCTGCCCTGGTTATTGTTCTTTAATGAGCCTCAATCATGAAGAAGAGAGGGGGCCCAACCAGAGTGGCACAGGTGGTTAGACACCTCTCTGCAACGCTGGAAGCCATGTGGAATACTAGTGGTTTGGATCCTGGGTCAACCTCAATGTGCCAGTGTTTTGAGTACTTGTGATCCTGGCTAGTTGGAAGAATCAGGGGTGGGAGAAGAAGGTAGGTTCAGAATGTGATGAGACCTTGTCCAGGGTGCACTTCTCTCTCTTTCTCTTTCTCAGTACAATCAACAAACTTTAAAAAAGAAAATTGATAAAAGGGGCCAGCTTGTTGCATGGTGGTTAAAGCAGCTGGATCTACCTGTCTGACTACATAGTTTGAGTCCTGGACCCAATGGCTTGAAAGTCGTGCTGGGCATGTGTGCATGTATGCCCAAATTCTGAAAGGAGAAACAAAGAAGGGATTGTTATGTGGCCAGGTCCATAGGGGATGCTTTCTCCCTCTCCCTCTCTTTCTCTCTCTTTCTCTCTAGCAAGCACTCATACCCTCTAGCAGACTTTTAAAATTGGAAAAAAAAAAAAAAAGCCTAGAGAGAGCTAACATTTACTAAATGCCTACTATATGCCAAGAAGTATGCCAAAGACATGTACATTTATTGCTAAGTTCTATTCCTTCTATTCATTTTTGGTATAAGAATGATAAAGTTCACCATTTAAGTAACTGGTCATGTCTAGTTGAATTTTCCATCTACAGCTTCCTATTTAATGTCCAATGGCTCTGTTTAGCAGGAACATAGTATGTGTTGACTTGGTGTTGTATGTTAATGGAGAGTCACGTAACATCTGTTCTTTTCGTCTCTTCCCTTCAGCTATACCTGCAGGCTCGCTTCACATGGCGAGGTGCCCGCCTGCTTCGACCCCTCCTCCAGTTCACCTTGATCATGATGGCCTTCTACACGGGACTATCTCGCGTATCTGACCACAAGCACCATCCTAGCGATGTCCTGGCAGGATTTGCTCAGGGAGCCCTGGTGGCCTGCTGCATTGTAAGTAGTACTTGTCCTTGGAGTGCCACAGAGACCCGCCCCGTTGCTTGTTAAATGTTTCCAGCTCAATGGCTAAGCCAGGGAGCCCTCATTCCTATTCTCTGCTCAGTGTCTGAGGAGTCACCCCACCCTAGGACTCCTTCAGGAAAATGAGACTAATTCCTGCGGCGTTTAAAAAAAAAATAATTCGTGCTGCTTTTTAGCCTGTGAGTTTTCATCCATTGGGGTTGTAAATCCTCTACTCCATAAACACAGGAGTGGGCTTCTAGACTGCTGCAAATGGAAGAGATCTTAGATATTGTCCAGCATGAGCTACCCTCCCCACCCCCTTTAATGGGGAAGTTTAGAGAAGAGATTCACCCAAAGTCACATGCCAGATTGGTGGCAAAGTCAGGTCTCCTGACTCAGTGCTCATGTGCTGCTTTGGTGAGCATTTACTGCTCAGAGACCTTTTCGGCTTCTTGGAAAATGGCTACCCTTCGCAACATGACCTTTGGGGCAGTTTGGTCAGCCCCTAAACTCACTGTTGACTGGAAAAGAAAAGTTTTGCTGTAACAGGCTCCCTCTCAGTCTGAGGACCTTGCAACTGAAATCACAGACTAAACTTGAACTTGGGATGGGATGCTGACTTGCCCCAAGTGGATGACTCTTAGTGAGGCTGGGCTGAAGCATGCCACCTCTGAGCCTCCAGCAGAAGCTCTGCTTTTCCTGCCTGCTACAGGTTTTGAGGTGTTATTTGGTGAACATGTCTGAGTTCCTCCTTTGATATTGTAACTTCCTGGGCCCTACTCAGAAGAGCTCACCCCAACCCAGGAGGAATCCCACAATTCAGTAATAGCTAGATGTTAAGCACCTATGTAGGCTGTATTGCTAACATAAATTATCCTTGCTCATTCACAGTAGGAATGATTAACATTAGAGAGATTTAAACCTGCTTCTTCTCCTTTCCTGGTTTTGAAGCCCATCTGCAGGATCTAGGTCCCTCTAGCAACCTGTCCCCACTCTCCTCTATAATAACATTTATCACTCTGTGTTGAACTTGTTGATGTGTGTATCCCTCCAGACTGTCAGTTTCTCAGGCAAAGGGATTGTATTTGCCATATATTATTCTCCATGTTTTACCAAAGCTCTCAGGGAGCCTGACTAAGATAAAGTAAACATGTGCTTAATAAGCAAAAGGCTATAGTCAATGAGTAGAACTAACCTTTCTTGAGCACGCTATAGGGAACATTCTCGCAGGCATAGGGATGAAAAGGAAGTCCAGTTCTAGCTGCTTGCACAGCCAGGCCAAGCACTAGTCTGATAGTACTGTATAGGTCACAATAGAGACAAGTACAGAAAGCTCCAGCAGGAGGTGAGGGCCTGATTCAGTATGGTCAAGAAGAGGAAGAGGGACTGGACGGTGGTTCAGTGGTAAAATGAAACATTCTGGGATGCTGACTCATGTGGGGAGATTCTGGGTTCGCATCAGAGACTCAGGTGCCCGTGATCCAGGGCTGCTCTGTCTGTCAGGACTCTGGGGTACAGTCGCTCTATTTTCCATGTGTGTGCGTGTGTGTGTCTCTGTGTGTGACCCATGGAAGAAATCAATATTTAAAAAAAAAAAGAGAGCGAGAAAGAGCGTGTTGGGGTGATTAGAGTGGGCACCATGAAAAAAGTAGTAGTACCTGAATTGCTTCCCAACCTTGGCACAGGAATCCCAGCCTACGGGACCGATAGTGCTGATAGCTTTCTTCATTGCTTTCTTTTTCATTTCTTAAGTGAAAGCCAGAAAGGAGAGAAATTGAGGAAAAAACTGTTAATGAGAACAGCTGTCCCTGCCCAGCTTGTTCTCTGGTGCCTGGCCCTTTAATGTGAAGCGACGGTGGGGGATGGGTGTCTGCACTAAAGGGTAACCCTTTGCAGTCTGTGCTCTTCAGAGCTTTGCTCTCAGCAGGAGGACAGCCCGAAGGGCCTGCTGCTGTTTCCTTCATGGTGCCACTGCCCTAATTGGAGTCTCCTGTACCCCCAATTAAATTAAAAGGTGGGGGGGATCCTTCCTAACCTTCCTCCCATTTGTATTCTAAAGCACTGCCCATGCGCCATTAGACAAAGTGTTGGGAGGGCCCAGGTTTATTTTCAAGAAGGGAAATGAGGGGTCTGACTTTTATCCTGTTTGGCTCTCACTGACTGTAATGTGGAATAGGAATTTGGTCCAGAGTTTGTAAAACACCTACTCTTTGCTGGGACCATTCCAGATGCTTTACCATTGTGTCCTTTTAGCCACAGGAAGCCTTTTTATTATAGCCATGATACAGAAGAGGGAACTGAAGCCCTTCAAATACACAGCTCTCACTTGAAGTTGGAAGGATTGAGAAAGAGGCTGTGTTCCTGGGTCGACCTATGCGTGCTAGCCACGCACACCATGATTCTGACTGGTGGGGAAGGCTGGTGGGAGTCGCAGCATGAGACTCAGTTGAGGGTGCTTGTCTTTCTGTTTGTCTCTCACTTTCATGGGAGAAGTCAATAAAATTAGGACAAAAAAAAAAAGACATGAGAAAGCAGGGGTTGAGAAAAGTAAGTCACCGAGAAAGAAGGTAGAGAAGCTGGAGTTGATGCCAGGCCTCCTGCCATGGAGCCAGTGCTCTAAGACTCAAGCTCCTAAGGGCTCTGTCTCTTGACCCTGCTTTATACCCACTCACCTCCAAGCATGCCAAACGTCTCGATAGAATCCAACACCCAGAGCTCTCAGACAGCTGCTCCCTTTGGTGGAGTGTAGTTCCATTTTCATTTCATCTCTCATAAAGCCTTGCTGTAACATATTTCCACAGATTAGTGGCTTAAAACAACACAAATTAATTTTCTGATAGTTCTAGACATCAGAAATGGGTCTCACTGGGCTACATAAAAGCTAGGTGTTGGCAGGGCTGCATTCCATCTGGAGGCTCTTAGAAAAATCTATTTTCTTGCCTTTCTAGCTCTCTAGAACTACTTGCATTCCTTGGCTAATGGTCCCTTCCTTCATCTTCAGAACCAGCAGCACAGAGCTCTTCAAATCTTTCTCTTGCCTCTCTGGCCTCTGCTAACATCGCCACATTTTCTACGACTCTGCCCCTCTTGCTTCCCTCTCACACAGACCTTGTGATTGCATTAGGACTGCCTTGAAAACCCTTGATAATCTTAGGGTTCTTAACTCAGTCGCATCTGCAAGGTCTTTTTGTCAAGTAAAGTCACATCATTACAGGTTGTGGACATCTTCAGAGGACCATTGTTCAGCTTACCACACCTTCCCCAGACCCCAAGACAGAATTGCCTATTGTTTAATGTTCCCAGAGCCCATTGCACTTTTTTCTTGCTGTGGCTTCTGACTGTCTGACAGTTGCTGCTCACATGCCTGTCTCCCCAGCTAGATTCTGGGTTTTTATTATTATTATTATTTTATTGAACTTTATCTGTTTATTTATTTATTTACTTGCTTGCATGCTTGCTTTAATTTGACCAGAGAGGGACAGATTGAGAGAGAGAGAGAGAGAAAGGAAGTCGCTGGGTCTGGGACTTGAACTGTGGTCTACCCTGTGTGAGTCCAGTGCCCTTAACCACCATGCCACCTGCTGGCCTGATTCTGGGTTTCTTAATAGCAGAATCTTTGGCTTAACCTTCTGGTTATTCTTTCTCACTGTCTGTACAGTGGCTGACACAATAGGTGCCAGATTGGGTAAATAACAAATGATGAATTTGCTTGTGGCCTCAGACAAGACACTTCCCAAATCTGAGCCTAGTTTCCTCATCTGTGGGTTGAACTTGGAGGCCCTGTAGCTCCATGACCTTTCCATATAGAGAGTCTGTGACACAGCTGACTCTGCAGTAGTTGAGCTAGACCTGCGTTCTCCATGGAATCATCTCCCTGCAAGCCTATGGAGATGCTCTGTACTGAGGCGGTCACAGCCTCTGTAAGCCCACAGTCATGTGCAGTGTGTTACCCTAGAATGTTGGTTCAGTCACTGCCGTCTTGGGCAACAGACTATGACAGCCAAACACTTTTACCCAGGTCTATTGAGGGTAAGTCTTGTCACAGCAAGCAGACTTGTCTAGACAAAAGTCACATGACAAATGGGAGTGGATTGGTTTCCTCCCCCATTGCTCACTGGTTGAATGTTTTCCAGAAAGGGAAGACAATAGTACCCAACGCAGACAGAAAATTGCTACACAGTGTCATGGACTCAACATGGAGACAGTCAGACAAGACTGCACATCCAGGTATACAGACAGTTACACAGGACAAGAGTGGAGAGCCACAGCCCAAGTAGACCCAGAAGCACATGGATAAACCCAGTGATATGCAGGCACACAGACAGACACAAACACAGGCTTATCCTGACCCTTGCAACCCTCCCCCACCTATACACCCACAAGGTCACCCCTACTGCAAACCTGAGCTCTACAGCTGGGCTCACCCAGGGAAAGGACAGGCATCAGTTCATTTCCTGTCTGGTGACAACTTGCAAATCTGGTCAACTTCTCTTTGACCCTTTAACAGATGGCAAATTAGGGGGCCCTGGGAGGGGTCAGAGGAGGGCCAGGCCGCCATTGCTGTGGGTTCAGCAGAGGAAGCAGCTGCTCTTGAATTTCATAAACACACAGCAGAGGCTTTCCTGGTTTTCCTCTTCCCAGGGGGTGTGGCTCAGCTAGCAGTTGCTCTTTTGTGTGCTGCTATCTTCCTCCAGGATATAGGGAAGGGCAAGGGCATTCTTTGTCTCTGCCCCAGCGAGGTGACCTTGGGAAGAGAGACCAGCAAGAATGCTAGTGTGAAGAAGAGTTCAGTGATGACAGTTGCTGCAAGAGGAAGTTGTGGGGCAGAGACAGTGCAGGCCACACCCCAGGACATACGCAATGGCAGAGTGGGAACCAGATCCTGGGTGCCTTGACTCCATGTCAAAGGGTTAAAACAATAAACCCCAAACCTGCTTGGTCTAGGCCATCAGTTCATAAGATGTCCTCTTTCTCTAACAAGGGAGATTCCA